TCATTTTATCAGCAACAAATACTGTCAGTTGCTTACTAATCCTAAATGTACTGGCTCTCTTCACTTTTAAGAAAATGTCTTCAAAATAACCAAGTCTGAATAATCATAGTCATTTTAAAAAATATGTTTTTATTGATTTCAGAGAAGAAGGGAGAGGGAGAGATAGAAACATCAATGATGAGAGAGAATCACTGATTGGCTGCCTCCTGCACACTCCTACTGGGGATAAAGCCCACAACCTGGGCATGTGCCCTTGACTGGAATTGAACCTGGGACCCTTCAGTCTGCAGGCCAATGCTCTATCCACTGAGCAAAACTAGTCAGGGCCATAGTCATTTTTTCAAGTAAAAACAGTGTTCATAAAAAAGGTGACCAGCCGATCCGGTTTGGTCAGTGGTTAGCATGTCAGCCCTTGGGCGAAAGGGTTGTGGATTTGATTCCCGGTCAAGGACACATACCTCAGTTGCATATTTGGTCCCAGCCCAGTTGGGGCACATGCAGGAGGCAACCAGTCAATGTGTCTCTTGCATTGATCTCTCTCTCTCTCTCTCTCTCTCTCTCTCTCTCTCTCTCTCTCTCTCTTTCTCTCCCCGCTCCCTCCCTCTCTTCCTTCCTCCCTCCTCCCTCTTCCCTCTTTTGCACTCTCTCTCTAAAGATCAATGGAAAAAATATCCTCAGGTGAAGATTTAAAAAAAGTGGCTAATTCAGCTCACAACTCAAAACAATTACGCAGATGCTTTCCTCAAGACAACTGTTGTACCTCAGTATATAGCAGAACTGCTTTGTGTGTAGGTCCTATTTAACCACAAAGAATATTACATAAATATGTATTTAAGATTTAATAAAATTAATACTTTTTACTTCCTCATCAAGAAAATTTCTAAGTGAACTGGCCCTTTTAGTCTTATTTCTAACTTCAAGTTAAAAAGTAAAATTAAAGTGCCTGTCTGTAAAGAATATAATAACAACTAGTACAGTTTGATGTCATTGCCTTTATTTGTGCTCCATCCATTTCAACACAGTGAAAAGTCAAATATCATCTTAGTATTGTTATAAAAATAATTTTAACCTTAAAAAAGTCTTGAAGACCACAAGGCTGGCCTAACTCAAAAGGTGGTTATAAAGATTAAATGTGACATTGTATGTAAAGTGCTTAGCATAATAACTAGCACATAATAATACACAATAATTAGCTGCTTATAATTATGACTAGAGGCCCGGTGCACAAGAATTTGTGCACTCGGGGGGGTCCCTCAGCCCGGCCTGTGCCCTCTCGCAGTCTGGGACACCTCGGGAGATAACGCCCTGCTGGCTTAGGCCTGCTCCCGGGTGGCAGAGGGCAGGCCCAATCCCTAGGTGCAGCCCCTGGTCGGGCTCAGAGCAGGGCCGATTGGGGAGTTGGGGCGCCGCCCCCTGTCATGCACAGAGCAGGGCGGATTGGGAGGTTGCGATGCCACGCTCAGTCACGCTCAGGGTAGGGCCGATTGGGGGGTTGGGGCACTGCCCCCTGTCACACTCAAGGCAGGGTCGATGGGGAGGTTGCGGCGCCACCCCCTGTCACACACAGAGCATGGCGAATCAGGGGGTTGGGGCGCTACCCCCTGTCACGGACAGAGCAGGGTCGATCAGGGGGTTGGGGAGCTCCCCCCCACCCCCCGTCACGCACAGAGCAGAGCCCATCAGGGGGGGTGGTGAGCTCCCCCCTGTTACGCACAGAGCAGGGTCGATCAGGGGGTTGGGGAGCTCCACCCTGTCACGCACAGAGCAGGGCCCATCAGGGGGTTGAGGAGCTACCCCCTGTCACTCACAGAGTAGGGGCAATAGGGGAGTTGGGGCACCACCCCCTGTCACACACAGAGCAGGGCGGATCAGGGGGTTGAGGAGCTCCCCCCTGTCACTCACAGAGTAGGGCCGATAGGGGAGTTGGGGCACCGCCCCCTGTCACACACAGAGCAGGGCGGATCAGGGGGTTGGGGCATCGCCACTCTCACACTCAGGGCAGGGCTGATGGGGAGGTTATGGCTCTACCCTGTCACTACACAGAGCAGGGCCCATGGAGGGGGGGGGGTTGGGGCGCCAAACCCTGTCACACACAGAGCCGCAGGGCGATCAGGGGGCTGGGGAGCTCCCCCGTATCAGGCACAGCGCAGGGCTGATCAGGAGGTTGGGGCGCCTTCCCCTGTCACGAACAGAGCAGGGTGGATAGGGAGGTTGTGGCCCTGCCCCGTCACACACAGAGCCGCAGGGTGATCAGGGGGTTTGGGCGCTGCCCCGTCACGCTGATCCCAGTGCCAGGAGGCCTCGCGGCTCCACTGATCCCGGTGCTGGGAGGCATATTACCCTTTTACTATATAGGATAGAGGCCTGGTGCATGGGTGGGGCTGGCTGGTTTGCCCTGAAGGGTGTCCTGGATCAGGGTGGGGGTGCCTGGCCAGCCTGGGTGAGGGGCTGATGGCTGTTTGCAGCTGGTCACACACCCTTCAGGGTGGGGGTCCCGACTGGGGTGCCTGGCCAGTCTGGGTGAGGGGCTGAGGGCTGTTTTCAGGCTGGCGGGTGACTGAAGCTCCCAACTGCTCCTTTTTTTCTTTTTTTTTTTTCTGGGCCAGCTTTAGCTCTGGCTCCAGCTCTGAGGCCTCTGCTGCTGAAAGCAGGTATCTGGTTTGTTTGGTTCTATAATCGAAACAATGTGTAACTCCAGCTCTGAGATCCCGGCTGGCTGAAAGCAGGTTTCTGGGGTTTTGTTTAGCTTCTGTATTTGTTACAATGTTTCAAACTGCAGGCTCAGAGGCCGGCAAGGCAGGCGGGGAACGTTGGAGTCCTCTGTCACTGAAGCAAGCAAGCCTCATGTTAGTTTCAAGCTGCCTGGCTACCGGCCGCCATCTTGGCTGGCAGTTAATTTGCATATCGCCCTGATTAGCCAATGGGAAGGGTAGCGGTCGTACGCTAATTACCATGTTTCTCTTTTATTAGATAGGATGATGATTGTATAACAATGCTACAAAGGAGAACCAAGCATTGGATAACCTGAGATTCTATTATGATCAAATAGCCAGTAAAAAATCATCAGAGATAGATTTAAGGCATCAATCATAATCTGACACCATCTGCTGTTTGGCTACACAGCAAGAGTAAAATATTTTCTTTTACTATTTTACTGACTGCCCAAGATTTTACTATCAATAATAAAAATTATTTTTAAACTAAAAAGAGCATTCCCCTAAATCCTGACATTCTAACAAACCAAATTACTTTAACTGGTTGTTCCTATTATTTGCTTTTGTACGGATATATGTGTGTGAATATATACATTTTATAAATATAAAATTTTCTAGAATCATAATCAGAATATAAATAAAAGTATTAAAAATGTATTTAAGGACAATGCAAGATCATTAAGTTATAATCATTAATAAGTAGAAAATGGTATATTTAGGGGGTCCTAGATATTAGTGTTTCTTTGGAAATAGGTGACCTCATGAAAATAGGATTATTCTTACAAGGCTATTGCTATATAGGTTGTAGACTTAAAATCCTTATGGTTCTCATGACTGATGTACACTACAGGGGCAATAAGGCAGACAGAACTTGGGCAACTTGAGTTAAAGGTCCCTTACTCAAAGCATCTCAATGCATGCAATCCTATTGGAACCACTCCAAGGTAAACAAGATTGTTCAATGTCTAGACAGAATACTTGTTAGTACCATGTAAAGCCTATAAGACTATTCTGGATTTCTCAGCAGTGTGACCTTCTGGAACATTGTAACCTACTCATGCTAACCATAACTCAGGGTACTAACTCAAGGCCAAGATCAGACATTCACCTTAGTATGCTAAAGCAGCTTACAAAATTTAGTTATAGCAAGTCAAATATGGGAAGTATGGTAGGAAGAAACACAAATTATATTGGCACTTTAATATTAGCTAACATTTATTGAATTTTTACTATGTAAGACATTGTATTAAGTTTTTCCACACATTATCTTTCCCAATCCTATCAACCATCCTATTTCCTCTGAGGTAAATAATCTCTACCAGACATATAAAAAACCTGAGGCTCAGAGAAATTAAATGAATGACCCAAAGTCCCAAGGCCATGACCAAGAAGAGCCAAAAATGTAATCCAGCTCAGTATGACCATAAATCCTGCTTTTGATAAAAGTATTTTGCTATCTCCCAACATTACCAATTATTTCCATGAGAAAAAGCAGTAACTTTAATAAAGACTTTAAAAAATACCTCCTGGGGTTTCATGGGCCCTCTGAAGTCTATCCATGTATATAGACCCCAAGTTAAGAAACCCTGCACTAGAATCTCAATATGCTTAATATAGTATAAGTTTAAAATCTGAAAAAATAAGGTATGGCAATCCTATATAATAAAAGGCAAATCGACCAAATGGTGGAACGACGGGTCCTATGGCACGCACTGACCACCATGGGGCAGACGCTCAATGCAGGAGCCGCCCCCTAGTTCAGTGTGCTCCCACAGGGGGAACGCTGCTCAGCCAGAAGCTCTGAGCAGGGCTCACAGCTGGCGAGCTCAGTGGCGGTGGCAGGAGCCTCTCCCGCCTCCATGGCAGCGCTAAGGGGAGCGGGCCTAAGCCATCAGTTGGACATCCCCCAAGGTCTCCCAGACTGCGAGAGGGCATAGGCTGGGCTGAGGAACCCCACCAAGTGCACGATTTCGTGCACTGGGTCTCTAGTAATATTAAAATAGCTACCATTTATTGAACACCTACTATGTGCCAGAGACACTGTGCTTAGTACTTTACATATATTAGCTCATTTTGTTTTCTCCCACAATGCAACACCCATTACTCTGATGAGAAAACTGAGATCAGAGGACTTAAATGACTTAATGAACTGGGAGGGAATTGAGCTTATGCTGACTCATTCTGTGGCACCAGTTCCCACTAAAGCAAACAGTGAATTAAGACCAGGTAAAGGGTTTAAACTTATTGCCAAAACAAACACAGAACAAACTCTGGAGACATATTTACCTGTATGACTTATGCAGTTCCATGACTTTCTCTTCAAGTTCCTTGGTCTGATTTGGGGCCAGTTTAAAATCACTAACATAATCCGAACCATGGAGTTCAGGGTCATAATCGCCCAGCTCAGACTGGATGGTATAAGAACCTAATAAAGCTAAAGTTGCAAAGGAACAGGGCAGACGTCCTGCAATTATGTCTTGTCGAAGTTGAAGACATAAATAATATCTATAGCCAAAAGAGAAAAGATGTTACCATGTCAGCAACAACAATAACAAAATATAGAGAGAGAGAAAAAGGAAGAAAGGGGAAGAGAGAGGAAAAAAGGGAAGAGGGCAAAAAAGTGATTAAGTAAATATGCGATAATATTAATAATTGTTCAATCTAGGTAGTGGGTTTATGGTTGCTTCTTGCACTATTATTTGTTCTTTTCTGTGTGTTTGAAAATTCCCCCCCCCCTTTTTTTTTAAAACTGTGACTATGTTGGAGTCATTGCTGGAAAGAAGTTTAGAAAGAAAAGAGGGAAAGTCTGAAGGAGGTAAGGAAACTAATGTTTTGTTGAGTGCAGTAAGAACCATACACATATCAACTTAACTAACTTTCACAAAAATAATTTGTGAGGGGGGAATTATTGCTAGATTACAAGATGAGGAGTCTGCCTCAAAAGGTAAGCTTGCTCAATGTTAGGTAGTAATAAAGGCTGTTTGGCTCTGAAATTGGGCCTTTTTCACACTGCTTTGCCAAATGCGTAGACATTGCCCTTCAGATTCAAAGATGACATTATTGATACATTTTCACTAGAATATGATCAGAAACTTTATCTTATGTTTAATAGCTCATCATTTTCCGTCAATTCTGAAGAGAAATTCCCAGAGTTTATAATCATGAGAATTACTTATTACATATTTGACCATTAATAAATTGTTTACCTTGTTATATCTTCTGTTAACTGTGCTGGGTCAGGTGGATAAAACTTTACATTAAATGTGAAATTCCAAGGGATACCTGTAAAAATAAACGCAAAAGGATTTTATGCTTATGCCTAAGTTTCTGATTGTTAGAAATACCTAAAAATATTCTATTTTTCCTGAGGTTTTAATATTTTCATGCTTTGTGAATGAAATATTGTTATTTTTATAAAATTTGTTTAGATACCACTTAAGAGGTAAAGTTAGAGGGTCTCATTTTTCTCTTAATCAACTTAATACAGTTTTGTTTACAAAAGACTAAAACTATATAGGCTAAATAAGAAGGAAACCATCTTATAGGCAGACATGTTTATAGCAATAGTTTTCAAAATATGATTTATACTAGTATACTACTGTGGGTGCTCAGAGGTCATATGAATGATACATGAATGTTCTCTTTTGGCAACAGCATTATTTATTTGTGACATCTCTCAATATAGGCATACCTCATTTTATTGAACTTTGCTTTATAGTACTTTGTAGATAATGTGTTTTTGTTTGTTTTTGGTTTTACAAATTAAAGGTTCGTGGCAACCCCGCATCAAGCAAGTCTATTGGCACCATTTTTCCAAAAGGTTTAGATGATGGTTTGTATTTTTTAGCAATAAAGTATTTTTTAAAATTCTTTATTGTTTAAAGTATTACATATGTCTCCTTTTTCCCCCATTGACCTCTCCCTGGCCACTCCCACCCCCTAGCACATGCCCTCACCCCCCTAGTGTTTGTGTCCATTAGTTATGCTTATATGCATGTGTACAAGTCCTTTGGTTGATCTCTTAACACCCCGTAACCCTCCCCTGCCTTCCCTCTGAGGTTTGATGATCTGTTTGATGCTTCTGTCTCTGGATCTATTTTTGTTCATCAGTTTATGTTGTTCATTATATTCCATAAACTGGTGAGATCATGTGATATTTATCTTTCTCTGACTGGCTTATTTCATTTAGCAAAATGCTCTCCATGTCCATCCATGCTGTTGTGAATGGTAAGAGTTCTTTCTTATTTACAGCAGCATAGTACTCCATTGTGTAGATGTACCACAGTTTTCTAATCTACTCATATGCTGATGGGCACTTAGGCTGTTTCCAAATCTTAGCCATTATAAATTGTGTTGCTATGAACATAGGTGTATATATATCCTTTCTGATTGGTGTTTCTGATTTCTTGGTTATATTCCTACAAGTGGGATTACTGGGTCAAATGGGAGTTTCATTTTAATTTTTTGAGGAAACTCCATACTGTTTTCCACAGTGGCTGCATTAGTCTGCATTCTCACCGAAAGTGCACAAGGGTTCCTTTTTCTCTACATCCTTGCCAGCACTTGTTGTTTGTTGATTTGTTGATGATAGCCATTCTGACAGGTGTGAGATGATACCTCATTGTCATTTTGATTTGCATCTCTCGGATGATTAGTGACTTAGAGCACGTTTTCATATGGCTCTTGGCCTTTCTTATGTCCTCTTTCAAAGAGTGTCTACTTGGGTCCTTTGCCCATTTTTTGATTGGACTGTTTATCTTCCTTTTGTTAAGATGTATGAATTCCCTATAAATTTTGGAGATTAGACCCTTATCAGCTATAACATTGGCAAATATGTTCTCCCATGCAGTGGGCTTTCTTATTGTTTTGTTGATGGTTTCTTTTGCTGTGCAGAAACTTCTTATTTTGATGTAGTCCCATTTGTTTATTTTATCCTTAGTTTCTATTGCCCTAGGAGCTATATCAGTAAAGATATTGCTATGACATATGTCTGATATTTTGCTGCCTGCGGATTCTTCTAAGATTTTTATGGTTTCCCATCATATATTTAAGTCCATTATCCATTTTGAGTTTATTTTTGTGTGTGCTGTAAGTTGGTAGTCTAGTTTCATTTTTTTGCATGTAACTGTCCAATTTTCCCAACACCATTTATTGAAGAGACTGTCTTGACGCCATTGTATGCTCTTGCCTCCTTTGTCAAATATTAATTCAACATAATGGCTTGGGTCGATTTCTGGGTTCTCTGTTCTGTTCCACTGGTCTATATGTCTGTTCTTGTGCCAGTACCAGGCAGTTTTGAGAACAGTGGCTTTGTAATACAGCTTGGCATCTGGTATTATGCTCGTTCCAACTTTGTTCTTCTTTCTCAGGATTGCTGCAGCTATTCAGGATCTTTTTTTTTATTCTGTGTGAATTTTTGAAGAGTTAGTTCTAGGTCTGTGAAGTATGCCATTTGTATTTTAATGGGGATTGCATTGAATCTATTGATTACTTTGGGTAGTATGGACATTTTAATGATGTTGATTCTACCAATCCATGAACACGGTATATTCTTCCATTTGTTTATGTCTTCCTCTATCTCTTTTTTCAATGTCCTGTAGTTTTCTGAATACAGGTCTTTTATTTTTTTAAAAAATATGTCTTTATTGATTTCAGAGAGGAAGGGAGAAGGGAGAGAGAGATAGAAACATCAATGATGAGAGAGAATCATTGATTGGCTGCCTCTTGCACGTTCCCTACTGGGGATCAAGTCCACAACCTGGGCATGTGCCCTTGACTGGAATTGAACCCGGAATCCTTCAGTTCGCAGGCTGACACTCTATCCACTGAGCCAAACCAGCTAGGGCTGAGTACAGGTCTTTTACCTCCTTAGAGCAATAAAGTATTTTTAAATTAAGGTATATACATTGTTTTCTTAGCCATAATGCTTTTTCACACTTCATACACTACAATATAATATAAACATAACTTGTTTGTTGTTTTTAATCTTCACCCGAGGGTATTTTTCCATTGATTTTTTAAAAAATACATTTTTAGATTTCAGAGAAGAAAGAAGAGGGAGAGAGAGATAGAAACATCAATGATGAGAGAGAATCATTGACTGGCTGCCTCCTGCACGCCCCCCCCCCCCCCCCCACTGGGGATCGAGCCTGCAATCCAGGCATATGCCCTGAGCTGGAATGGAATATGATCTTCTGGTTCAAAGGTCAACACTCAACCACTGAGCTACATAACCAGGCTTTTCCATTGATTTTTAGAGAGAGGGGAAGGACGAGAAGGAGGGAGGGAGAGAGATACATCAATTGGTTGCCACTCAATCTAAATCAAACATGCAACCCAGATATGTGCCCTTGACCCGGAATCAAACCTGCTAACCACTGAGCAACACCTGCTAGGGCAAGGTGAAACAGTTTTAAGCATACATTCATAGTAATAAAAACCATTAAAATATATAATGGACTCATTAACACAAAATTCAGAACAGTGATGACTTCTGTAGGGGAAGGAGAGAAGGATATATTTAGAAGGGGCATACTTGGGCTATAGATTTTTTTAAAAACATAACTTGTGTACATTATATATCAGTGTTTTACTAATAGATGGGATTTCTTGCCTTTGCTCTGTGCTATACCAGAAAGAAAGGTGTGGAGGTGCTAGCCTAACTCAGTAGGGGAGATCTTTCTTATTCAGAATCAATGGAATTAAAGAAAGCTAAAAATCAAGCTGCAAGGAGAGAGAAAGAGACTGATAAATCTCAGAAGAAGGTAAGATTGGGTCAGAGGGAAATTTCAAAAAATGAGACAAAGTTATATATGTATATATATATATATATATACACACACACACACACATATGTATATACACACACACACACACACACACACTGTATATGGGTATACATGAAAGGAAAATATAGAAACATGGACTGAAAGGAATCACCCCGAATTCATGATAATAGATTTCTATGCATTGGGAGATGGGAATGGGACTAGGAGGAAAACAAGAGATAAACCTTGTATGGTTCTATTTTAAATTAAAAATATTAACACATGGCCTGCCGGTGTGGCTCAATAGTTGAGTCTCAACCCAGGAACCAAGAGGTCACAGGTTCAATTCCCAGTCAGGGCACATGCCCAGGTTGTGGGCTCAGTTCCCAGTGTGGGGCATGGAAAGCAGCCAATCAATGATGTTCCTCTCTCATTGATGTTTTTCTCTATAGGTCTCTCTCTAAAAATCAATAAAAACATTTTTAAAAGAAGAATGTGGAAGGCATATTAAAAAATGTTAACACATTAATTCTGGGTGATGAGTACATGGGTATTTGTTATATTAGACTCCATAGTTTTCTATATTTTTGAAATATGAAAAAAGTTATTGATGACTACCTATTACAATTTAAAATATTCATATTTTTTATTCTACTTCTAAGGTTTTATCTACAGACATTTATAAGTACACAGATATATATTATATAAATAAAATATATGCTCACTGCAACCTTGTTTGTAATAGCAAAGTATTGAGATTAACCCAAAATTTCCATCAATAGTACTGGTTATATGTAATATGTCACAACTATATAATCAATTAAAAATTTTTAATGGATGAAATAAATGTGTATATGTTGATGGTGAAAAATACTCTATATTGTGTTACATAAAAGACTGCATTTTTAAAAAAATTTTTCTGTTAATCCTCACCAAGGATATTTTTTTTCATTGATTTTCAGAGAAAGTGGAAGAGAAGGGGAGAGACAGAGAGAGAGAAACATCGATGTGAGAGAGACACATTGCCTTCCACACATGCCATACCGGGGTCGGAATCAAGCCTACAACCAAGGTAGATGCCTTTGACCAGAATTGAACCCGCAACCCTTCAGTCCCTGGGCCAATGCTCTAACTACTGAGAAAACTGACTAGGGCTGGTTGCATATTTATATTAAATACATATAAATATTAAATGCTTATATCAAAATATACATGTTCAATACATATTTATATTAAGACACACATATGTAAATACATATTTATATTAGAATACACATTTGTGTGCACATGTGTCTATATACACTCAAAACATCTCTGAAAAAAAACACAAGGAATCGGTTAAAGGACAGAGGTAGAAGGGAGATCTACCCTGCACTATTTCATTTACATCTTTTAATTTTATACCATATATTTTCTATTGCCTATTTTAAAAATTAATTTTAAAAACTATATATAGCATAATACACATATTGTGTAATACATAATATATAGCAATGTATAGCATAATTGTATTTGTGAAAGGTGAAATCTACATATGCCTAAAAAAAAATCTTGTAGACTATACTAATTTAATAGTGCTTAAATCTGGAAAACAGGATTAGGGGCCTTTTACTTTTTCCATGATTTACTTTCATAATGTTGAAATTTTTCACAATGAGTATATATTACTTGCATGATGAAAAATAATTTTAAAAAACTTTTGCAGCCCTAGCTGGTTTGGCACAGTAGATAGAGCTTCGGCCTGTGGACTGAAGAGTCCTAGGTTAATTCTGGTCAAGGGCATATGCCTGGGTTTGGGCTCAATTCCCAGTGTGGGGCATGCAGCAGGCAGCTGATCAATGATTCTCTCTCATCATTGATGTTTCTATCTCTCTCTTCCTCTCCCTTCCTCCCTGAAATCAATAAAAATACATATGTATTTTTAAAAACTTCTGCAATAAATAAATATCAATCTTCTTTCTCTTTGGCTAAATGAAATGCTTACATTTTGATTCCCTATTAAAGTTTGTTTTAGGAACACAGTTTTTCTTTCCTGTGTTGAAGTAAGGATTTTTTTTTTTTTAATTTAAAAAAAAAATGACAAACACTTAGAGTTTTTTTCTTAGCAAAAGATTTTTTTAAAGCCAGAAAGATAATCTACCAGATATTCTTCTCTACTTATTATAAACTGTTTTAACATTTCTTCCTAAAGAGTCTTCTTGTATAATCATTTGTTCCTAAGTAAAATTGAATATTAAAAGTATTTTCATTGAAAAGGGCTAGGAGTTAAGTTTTTCTGGTCATGTTTCAAATATGCTAAATATTTTTTTGACCTGCATTTTAAAACAAGATTTTATAGGCTGGGAGCAAATATGGAGAGTTGCTAGTTCAAAGGAGTATTTTATTTCTCTGTCTTAAGAAATATAATTATAGCCCTAGCCAGTTTGGCTCAGTGGATAGAGCATCGGCCTGAGGACTAAAGGGTCTCAGGTTCAATTCTGGTCAAGGGCACATGCCCGGATTGTGGGCTCGATCCCCAGTGGGGGGCGTGCAGGAGGCAGCCAATCAATGGTTCTTTCTCATCATTGATGTTTCTATCTCTCTCTCCCTCTTCCTTCCTCTCTGAAATCAATAAAATTATACACACACACGCACATATATATATGTACATATATATATAAAAATAGGGTCTAAAGGAAAACATTTCACCATAATAAAAGTGTTTTCTTTTAAGAAACAAATAAAAAAAATTGTTTCCAGGTGATTAAAAGTTAAAACTTCTAATCATGATGAATAACATCTTTCAGTTCCTAGAAGCTTCCTCAAAATAAACTAAATTAAAAGGACATCTAGTCATAAATGGGGTGTTGGGGAGAGAAAGTCTCTATCCTTTAGCCATCCCATTGGGCCTAGGGCTAGAAAATACTAATTTATACTTAACTGGCCTAGAAATATCTATTCCTAGACATTAGTCAGAGCAGGGTGTGCAGCAGTGATATGTTCTAGAGCAGCAGTTCTCAACCTGTGGGTCGTGACCCCTTTGGGGGTCGAACGACCCTTTCACAGGGGTCGCCTAAGACCATCAGAAAACACATATATAATTACATATTGGTTTTGTGATTAATCACTATGCTTTAATTATGTTCAATTTGTAACAATGAAATTGGGGGTCACCACAGCATGAGGAACTGTATTAAAGGGTCGTGGCATTAGGAAGGTTGAGAACCATTGTTCTAGAGGGTTTGAAGCTAGGAGAAAGCCACAATGTCAAAAGGATCATTGGCAAAGAATTCTTATTATCTATTCTTATACTTCAATTTGGAAGAAGAATGTTGAAAAGGGACAAAACGAACTGTAGCGAGAAAATCATGGAGACAGTTAGAATGCAATAGTCCAGAACATTTTAAAAAGGACAGGATCAGGCAGCATACTTCTAATTGAGGGCTGCTACAGTTTCAATCACTACCCTTTTGAGAACTGACTCCCCTATCCTTTTTCTCTTTTCATCTCTGTTCTTTTCCACCTTCTGATTCTCTTAACCTATCTTCCCCAACTTTGCCTAGTTGTAAAAAAAGAAAAAAAAAATCATCAAGATCTGACCTACATCTTAACAGTGTTCACCACTGCTGTACCTCTCTATTATGGAATCTCCTCCTTCCAGGGGAAGGCTTTATCTCAATTTCAAAGCCATCTACTATAGTCAGGATTCTAAAGTGACCCACAGCCAGAAAATGGTTGGAAATCCGCTGACCTACTAAAAGAAAGAATTATACAAAAAGGCAATATTTACTTACCACGAACCTGCTTTTTTATTTCTTTGGCAGAATCCAGCCATGTCTGTAAAAAGAAGAAAAGGCATTCATACAAATTTCCAAAACATAAACAAGAGAGTACCAGAACCAGGATTACTGACCATTTCAAATAGTGCCTCCAGGTCAACCTACATTTCCAATATTCTTGTATTAATTTCACATAGCATAGAAATATAAAGCCAGACAGTTGGGCTGGAATCCTAGCTCCACTACTTCCTACCTGAGTGTCCCTTTTTAGCATCTCTATACCTCAGTTTCCTCATCTATAGAATGAAATATTAGTAGTAGTGCCTATCTCATAGAGTTATTATGAAGACTAAATGAATTGATGTATATAAAGCTCTTAGTAAACAAGAAATGCTAAATAAGCACTTGTTATTTTTATTACACTATAACAACTAGTAGAGACCTATAACCAGGATTATTGACATCACCCAGATCTTATTTTTCCAGCTTTTCTATGTCAGCACAGCATCTGGCACATGGTTCACACTCAGTTAATGTTTACTGAATGACTATTTTGTTTCCCCTGACTACTCTTGTCCACATTAACCCCTCCCTTCACTGTTTTCCAATCCCACTTAAAATCTTCCCAGCACTGTGGTGAACCATATAAAATAACTGTATGTGAAAAGAGCCTCCCCCTTAACATCTTTCATAGGCTCCTTGGGAAACGTTTAAAGACAGAAAGTTCTAATTTGAATTTCTTCAAAGATTTTATTGACATAAGATGCATATGGAAAAGTACATAAATTATCAAAGCAAATATATAACAACACTAGAGGCCCAGTACATAAATTTGTGCATGGGCGGGGGCCGGCTGGCCCCGCCCCAATTGGGGTAGAGGGGGCCAATCAGGGCTGAGGCTGGCTGGAGGGAAGGGTCGCGGGAGGTTGGCCAGCCAGCCCCAACTCTGATAGAGGTGGGGGTGGGCCGATCAGGGGTGGGGCCGGCCTGAGAGAGGGGCCATGGGTGGTTGGCCAGCCAGGGGGAGAGGCCATGGGAGGTTGACCGGCCGGCCCCACCACCACGCAGTGTAAGTCATAGCGACAGGTCATCCTGGTCGTTCTGGTCATTCCGGTTACTTAGGGTTTTATATATATAGATTACCAGCATCCCAGGAGCTCCTCTCACACCTCTTCCCAATCCCTTCCCATTCCCTCCACTAAAAAGTTTAAAATTGAATTTTAGTGGTATTTAGACAAGAGAAGTAAGGTGTTCCCTCTTCACTCTCTACTAACAAGGGCAAAGCACAGGTGAGCATCCCATTTGCCCTACCAAAGAAATGAGCTTGGATACCACAATTTTCTATTTAACCACATACCACTTTAACTGTTATATAAAGACTAGATGCCAAACTGGTTTGGCTCAGTGGATAGAGCGTCGGCCTGCGGACTGAAGAGTTCCGGGTTCGGTTCCGGTCAAGGGCATGTACCTGGTTGCGGGCACATCCCCGGTGGGAGGTGTGCAGGAGGCAGCTGGTTGATGTTTCTCTCTCATTGATGTTTCTAACTGTCTATCCCTCTCCCTTCCTCTCTAAAAATTCAATAAAATATATTTAAAAAAAAAAAAAAAAAAAAGACTAGATGCCTGGTGCACGACATTCGTGCACTGGAGGAGGGGGGGGGGGCGGTCCCTCAGCCCAGCCTGCACCCCTTAGCAGTCTGGGAGCCCTCAAGGGATGTCCAACTAACAGCTTAGGCCCGCAGTTGGACATCCTTAGTGCTGCTGCAGAGACCGGAGAGGCTCCCTCCACCACTGCTGAGATCACCGGCCATCAGCCTGGCTTGTGGCTGAGCAGCGCTCCCCCTGCAGGAGCGCACTGACCACCAGGGGACAGCTCCTGCATTGAGCGTCTGCCCCCGGGTGGTCAGTGCACTTCATAGTGACCGGTCATTCTGCCATTTGGTCGATTTGCATATTACCCTTTTATTATATAGGACAGTTACTATAACAGACAATAAGCACAAGAGTGAGGACTAGTTTCCTTTTATCTCCCTGGCTTCCACAATTACCATAGCTGATTAAGAAATATATGTTAAAAATAATACAATATAAAATTAATCTATAGTATAAAACTAGGCACACAGCTGTCTAAGCCCTGTCAGAAAGGGGTAACCTGGGTGTTTCTTCTTTGTCTCTCATTAAGACCAAAGAACTTTAAGTTGTTTATAGACACTATAGTGCAAGTAATCTAGGTTTCACTGCTTACATGTTTTAAAAAGCCACATTTAGACTGGCTGGTGTTTCTCAGTGGTTAAGCCTCAACCCATGAACCAGGAGGTCATGGTTCAATTCCTGGTCAGGGTACATGCCCAGGTTGCGGGCTCCATCCCCAGTAGGGAGCATGCAGGAGGCAGCCGATCAATGATTCTTTGTCATCACTGATGTTTCTCTTTCTCTCTCCCTTCCTCTCTCTGAAATCAATAAAAACATATTTTAAAAATAAACAAGTCCACTAGTGATGTCAACCCAAATCTTCCTAGCAAAAGATAAGATCCCCAAAATGGCCTCCTACTCTGCAAGTATGTTTACAAAATTGATTTTAGTCTTTCTCATTTACCAGACAATAAAAACACAATCATAACTGGCATTTGCCCTTCAAAGCCAGTCATGAATCAATAGAACACAATCCATCCTTTCAGATAACTAAAAACTAAATTCCTCACACTCTTAATGTAATATTCATTATACTAGTGTTTGCTATTTGCCTGTGAAAGGTGATTTCCCCACTCCTAGGTAAAATAATTCATCCACACATTCATCTATTACTCTATTCCTCACTCCCTATAGTAAGCCAGGCTGGATGGCTCCTAGTTCCTCTAAGGCTACTCTCTCAACTCCAGGCCTTTCTCTCTCCACTTCACCAGCCCATTTTATCCTTCAGGTCTCAGCTTAGGCATCAGCTGTCCAGAGAGGACTTCCCTGGCTACATTCTCCCATGACGTCTTGTACTTCCATTGGTATGACACTCATCACTCTTCACTGTAAGCTCCAGAGGGCAAGGACTATGTCTACCTATTTACAGCTATATCCATATCATCTAGTATAGCACCTGCAAATACTTGTTAAACTGAACTAAAGTCTTCATCATTAAATTTTGAGCTAAATATTTGTAATTTTCAGTTAATTGGCCCAGGAAATAATTCAAGCTTTCTGAAGTAAATACTTGACTTCTGCCTGGCCAGCATGGCTCAGTGGTTGAGCATCGACCTATGAACCAGGAGGTCATGATAAGATTCCTGGTAAGGGCTCATGCCTGGATGTGGGCTCTATCCCCAGTGTGGGGCGTGCAAGAGGCAGCCGATCATTGGTTCTCTCTCATCACTGATGTTTCTATCTCTCTTCCTCTCTGAAATCAATAAAAAATATATATTTTTAAAAAATCCTTGACTTTTAACCTTTCTTCCCTCCTCTATATTCTCACACTTTTTTTATTTCCTTCAATTAACTTTACTGGTTTTCTTTTAGGCTGAAAGAAAATGTCAGATTCATTGTATAAGTGTTTCAGCAATATCGGGACTTTATTCTCTTTTATAATGTTACTTTCAAATTATAAGTTTGCAGCGGCAAAAGTAGGTTTACAGTTGTTCATATGGAAAATAATACAATAATTAATAAATAATAATACAAGGATAAACTCTGTGTTTTGCATACTCCCAACTATAAACCTACTTTTGCCAATCCCTGTATATCATAATTATCCTATAATTATAGTATGATAATTATGATAGAACCATCCATTCAACAAACATTTATTATAAACCTGCTACATACTAGATCAAATACTATATGAATAATACATAAGGTGATTGGTATATACTTGCTAATCAGGATATCAAAGTTCTGTACTTTGCCTGTCTTTTAAAACTAAACAATAGATACTTTCAATGATGAAAGAACACAGCAGCAATGATATTTTTTCTTTAAAATGTTCATTCTAGTCTAGAGAAATAAGAATAACTCTAAGTGTACCGTGTCTTGGAGAGGCAGGCATAAATACATTAACAACACAGCTTCATACATTATCAGCAATTTCCTCACCTTGGAGTTTTCATTATCCCAAATGGCTAGACCAAAGTAGTCTTCTTCCAAAAGATTGAGGTGCTCACACACTCGCTTAAGTAAATCTTGTCCTTTTGCATGTTTCTGCAAAGATATACATATTTTAGTTGAGGTTTCCTCTTATTCCTGTGTTCATCGCCAAATAAAATAAAATGTCATTTTCCAATTTCCTCTTTTATCTAGTTTAAAAAATAGCTAATAGCTAACATTTAAGTGGATTACACAGTATAAGTAGAACAATGTGAGTTATAAAAATCTTGCTTCATAAGAAGCAACTTGTCAACTTATATATGCAACACACTTACAATGGCTTGGAAATAATGCTACAATTCAAAGCAAAATTCCAGCTTCCCTCCATCTACCACCACCACTTCACCTCCTTCGTAAACATAACATTCTTTATTTTTTGGTGCAATATTTCCTGAAGCTTGCTATGGGCTGCTGTCAGTCATCATGACCATCTGAATTAACTGAACCAACTGCTGACATTGACAGTTAATGGCTATGGAAATTATTATACTATATCATTCTCAGACCAAATGTCCCCAGAGAATAAACTATGTCTCAAGTCCGTTCAATCTCTTTAGAAAAAATGCATGAAGTATAAAATTCTAGATACCTACAAATATTAACTATTGCAGTTGCTCTTTCAGATGTGCTACGAATCATTTTCTTAATATCTCTTTACCTAGAAAATAAACAACTGCCAAATGTGGGTACTTATATTCCTGTTTATAGTGAGGAAATTCCCTAACTTAGAAACTAAGATTTAGAGTAAAAAAATCCTGGCTCTTCCATATACTAGCTAAATAATCTGAGTCTATTTAATCTAATCACTCTTTCTGAACATTAGCTTTTGTATTTACACCTGTCCTACCTATTGACTGGAACAGTTGGGGGGTGGGGGGGAAGAATCAAATGTGCTAATTAATGCCTTCTGATAAATATATTTTTTAAATGTCAAAAACTAGAAATAATTTTTGGAACATATACATGGCATGTCCTCTCAATCAGCTGAGTTATTTTTAATGACTATTAGTAATTCATATAGATGTTAACTCACTTTCAGACTTAACCCATTCATATTACACCTTTTTCTCACCTATGTTTTCACTCTAAATGACATAGATGATCTGGGAATTCTTCACAACAATCGCTTTATATCAAGCATATAATTGACAATTACTGCTCTAGTTTAAAAAATAGCTAATAGATTTTTAAGGATTTTAACTTGTCTTGAAGGAGCAAAAGAGTAACTGAATAACTCACATTTTTATTCAATCTTGATTCAATTTTTTATTCTTTCAGAAAATCGAGAATTTTAAGAATTAGCATTACTTGATTTAAATTTTTTATATCCTATATAATGGGGATAAAGAAATACATTAAATAAACTAAAGCTTATCAAGGTTTAGAGAGGAGAGCAGAAGTGAACACATAGTAAATTTTTTTTACAAATATAATTTGGCCCTGGCTGGTATGGATCAGTTGGTTGGACATTATGCCATGCACCAAAAGGTTGTCAGTTCGATTCCCAGTCAAGGCACATGCCTGAGCTGCAGGCTTGATCCCCAATTGGGGGAGCATGCAAGAGGCAGCCTTTCGATGTTTTGCTCTCACACTGATGTTTCTCTCTCTCTCTCCCTCTCTTCTGCTCTCTCTAAAATTCAATCAAAATATTTTTAAAAATTTGTTTTGACTATAAAAGTAACATGTACTCAATTCACAAGATTTGACAGATGCAGAAAAAAAAACCTGAAGAAAATAGACTCACTCATAATCAATCCTTCTACACCTCTACCTCCAGAAAAATCACTATTAACATTTAAGCCCATAAAAATTGTCATTATACTGGGTCTTTTCTCAGGCCATGACACCACTTACCCAATCCTACATGAAATAATTTGTAAGAATTCTAACTACCGAAACTTAAAATGTACTTACTTCTACAACACATTCATAAACTGTGTCATCCAACAAAGAAACCTTGCAATGCATGTTTCTGTGTCTTCTGATTGATTTCTGGGAAGCTTTTAATTCTCTTTCTGCTTTTGATTCCGGGCTTTCTTCTTTCACTTCTGTTTTAGAGCACTCTTCAACTCCTCCTCCTTCCTTAGTTTCAAAATCTGGATCTTCTGTGCGTTCTTCCTGAGCAGGCTACATATGCATGACATCACCAAGTCAATAATAAAGACATTTAACAAAACATGCTGTATATACTTCTATCTATAATAATGCTACCACTAACAATACTAACTGAAGAAGAAAAACGGTTGAAACAAATATAAGTGATGCTAATATTAAATAATTATTTTTTCTATGAAAGATATTACGATCTCCCAAAAGAACTACAGACTCTCTTATTCTTAAAACTACATAACAGAAGGTAGAATCCCATTTTTCAAATCAGTAAGCAAAGGTTTCAGGTAAATTAGAGGACACCATTCTGTTGCTTTCAGCATTATATATTCTTCCTGATTATGCCATTATACAATTTTAAAGCCTATCAAAATTTTAACATCTCTGTGCCATGCTCCTCAATTTTAACAAGGTAGCCTAATGAATTGCAAAATGAGATGTGATTTGTCATGTATTCAAAATTTTATGAATGGCTAAGAGGGGTTCTTGGGACCAATTTTAGAGCACAAAGAAACATATATAGTAGACTAACTGTAACTACCAATTAACTGATACCAGGTATCAATCATGATAAATACAAAGAAGGTTTAAAGAAGCAAGAGACAGAGAGAAAACAAGAAGGCGGCATAGGTAAACACCAGAAATTGCTGCCTCCCACAACAAATTCAAAAATACAACTAAAAGACAAAACGGACATCATCCAGAACCACAGGAAGGCTGGCTGAGTGGAAGTTCTACAACTGGAAGGAAAGAGAAAAGCACACTGAGACTCAGAGGAGGTGCGGAAGTGCAGAGGTACGGAGGCGCACGCGGCAAGGGGTGGCAACTGAGGACGCGGCTGTCCTTTTGAGTCGGGAGGGAGTTGCAGGCCCCCGACTACTCTGAACTCTAGTTCCGGGTGAGTCTCTGGGGACCTAGACTCATACAGGGAGAAACTGGACTGTCTGGCAGCAGGAAGAACTCGGAACTCGAGGGCGGCTTTCTCTCAAAGGTGCTTGCAGCGATTACTGGGACACTGAGACCCGGGGCCCCTTAGGGCAGGGCTGAGGATCAGCCACAGCTGCTTGCTCAACCCTGTTGATTCCTTGAGACCCCGCCCCACCAAAGCTGCGGCAGAGGCTTTTGCATATGAATGCCCTGGCCCTTTGCAATCTGAAAATTACCTAACAAACTGCAGCTGGGCCAGACAGACCCAGAACTTCCAAGAGAAGGCCCAAGGCCCCACAGCAGCTTGCATTGCTTCACAACTGGGCCTCATTTGGGCACCTCCAAACCCCAAACAAGGAAGGGGAATCTGCAGATCTCTTTGTAGCTCCTGCTGGGTAGCCTCAGGCAGAGGTTAAATTAGCACCTCCTTAGATCCAAGAGGCAGTATACCCAGTGGTCAGAGTGGGACCATCAATTACAACTCCTCAGATCCATAAGGGACACACTCAGGGGGCAGACCCAGTGAGCACCAAAGCCCCACTGAAGCAAGTCTTGCCCCAGAAGGGTGTCTCCAGGACAAAAGTTCTCCCACTGTAGACACAGCTGACTCTCATAGCCAATTGGCCTGGAGGTCAATTCCTCCCAGTGATACCTACAACAATCAAGGCTTAACTACAACAAGACTGTGCACAAAGCCCACAAAGGGGTACACCAAGAGTGTTCACCTCAGGTAATTGGGGAGGCTGAGCCACTGGGCCCTATAGGACACCTAGCACACAAAGCCACTCTATCAACACAGGGAAGCATAAAAAATGCGGAGACAAAGAAACAGGTCCCAAATGACAGAAATGGAGGAAAGCAAACGACTGGATATAGAGTTCGAAACCACACTTTTAAGGTTTTTCAAGAACTTTCTAGAAACTGCTGATAAATTTAGTAAGACTCTCAAAAAGTCTGGTGAGACCGCCGATAAATGTAGTGAGACCCTCAAGAAATCTAGTGAGACCCTTGAGGTTATGAAAAAGGACCAACTAGAAATTAAGCATACACTGACTGAAATAAAGGATATTATGCAGAGTTCCAACAGCAGACTAGAGGATCGCAAGAATCAAGTCAAAGACTTTAAATACAAAGAAGCAAAAAACACCCAATTGGAAAAGCAAAATGAAAAAAGAATCCAAAAATACGAAGATAGTGTAAGGAGCCTCTGGGACTGCTTCAAGCGTACCAACATCCGAATTATAGGGGTGCCAGAAGATGAGAGAGAGCAAGATATTGAAAACCTATTTAAAGAAATAATGACAGCAAACTTCCCCTACCTGGTGAAAGAAATAGACTTACAAGTCCAGGAAGCGCAGAGAACCCCAAACAAAAGGAATCCAAAGAGGACCACACCAAGACACATCATAATTAAAATGCCAAGAGCAAAAGACAAAGAGAGAATCTTAAAAGCAGCAAGAGAAAAACAGTCAGTTACCTACAAGGGAGTACCCATATGACTGTCAGCTGACTTCTCAACAGAAACTTTGCAGGCCAGAAGGGAGTGGCAAGAAATATTCAAAGTGATGAATGCCAAGAACCTACAACCAAGATTACTTTATCCAGCAAAGCTATCATTCAGAATTGAAGGTCAAATAAAGAGCTTCACAGATAAGGAAAAGCTAAAGGAGTTCATCACCACCAAACCAGTATTATATGAAATGCTGAAAGGTATCCTTTAAGAAGAGGAAGAAGAAGAAGAAGGTAAAGATACAAATTATGAACAACAAATACACATCTATCAACAAGTGAATCTAAAAATCAAGTGAATAAATAATCTGATGAACAGAATAAACTGGTGATTATAATAGAATCAGGGACATAGAAAGGGAATAGACTGACTATTTTGGGGGGGGAAAGGGGTGAAGGGGATGCGGGAAGAGATTGGACAAAAATCGTGCACCTATGGATGAGGACAGTGGGGGGGGGGGGGGTGAGGGCAGAGGGTCGGGTGGGAACCGGGTGGAGGGGAGCTATGGGGGGAAAAAAGAGGAACAACTAATAATCTGAACAATAAAGATTTAACTTTAAAAAATAAATAAAATAAAAATAAAAATAAAAATAAAGAAGCAAGAGACAAATTGAAATATGGGTCTCCTGGTGCCTGAACTGTTATGAGGCTATTTTTTTTTTTTTTTACCTCTATCCATCTTTGAATGTATCTTTGTATAATTTACATTTATATCCCAAAGCGATACAACTAAGTGGAATAAGATTTTGGGAGACTTTTTTCAAGCACGACAAAATTCTTTTCATTTAAAAGAATACATGGCTGACTTTTAGGAAAAAGAATTTAATTATTTGGCGCCTGCATTACATGTTGGAAGAGGTCTGTCTAAAAGGATCCTTCCAAACCTCATGACCCTCTTAAATGCAACCTCTTCAGAGAGGCCTTCATTGGCTATCCTACCCATCCTATTCTTCAAATCAGTACCTTCTGTGTTGCCTTCATAACACTTATTATGATAAATAATTATTTTGTATTTACCACTTTTTGTCTCCTACATTAGACTATAAAGTCATCAAGAGTAGGGATGATATTTGTTTTATAAAAATAAAGCAAACATTTACATAACAAATACAAAAGCATTACTCATATGAACTCATTTTATCTTCATAACAAACTCTGCGAAGGGTACTATTATTATCCCCATTTGACAGATAAGAAACTAAAGCCAGAGAAATTCAAGTAACTTGGGATCATACAGTTAATAAGTCACATATCAGTCTGGCTCCAAAATTCATCATATCAAACTTCTTTACCATATTATAGTTTTTATTTACTAATGTATATTCAGGGTCTGGTACACATAGTAGGTTTTCAATAAACAATTGTTTAATGAGTAAATAAATATTAAAAACTGACAGATGGCTTCCAACAAAATCTAAGGCACTCTAGATGAAAAATAGTACAGTCCTATAAGGCAAATACACTTTGTTAAAAATTCTGGATAGAAAAGGACCACACAAATGAAATTCTCCTACAAGTAAGAAATATGGTTAAGCAATAAGGTTCTGATCCACAATGCTGTGATTTTAAATACTAGCTTCCATAAAGCCCTAAATCAGTGGTTCTCAACCTTCTGGACCTTTAAATACAGTTCCTCATGTTGTGACCCCCAACCATAAAATTATTTTCGTTGCTACTTCATAACTGTAATGTTGCTACTGCTATGAATCATAATGTAAATATCTGATATGCAGGATGGTCTTAGGCGACCCCTGTGAAAGGGTCGTTCAACCCCCAAAGGGGTCGCGACCCACAGGTTGAGAACCACTGCCCTAAACAGTTTGCTCCTTTAAACAATATCCTCTTGAAATTTTATTATTTATTTTATTTCTTTTTCTTTATATGTAGATAAATACCTAAACACAATTTATCCCAATTCTGAATTAATGAAATTTCAATGAATGAGATTTTAAATAAATCTAGAATTTTGTCTGTCATGTGTTTCAACTTCAGTACAAATACTATGATCTTTAGGCAAAATGACCCTGATTCAAATGCTAACTACAATGAGATATGGATTTTTCCCTACATAAAGCAGAGGACCCAAAAAAGCAGTTAAAAACCTCTTGAAAGTACCAGGCTTCCTGAAAGAGGGTAGAATTTAACTATTGGTATTCTTCAAATAAAATTAACAATATTAAGATATGTAGTGTATCTTGGCCTTTACTGAGTAACAATAACTAATACTGAGTGCTTACTAAATGCCAGGCAATAACTTGAGACTTTACATGTTTATCTCTTTTAATCCTCATAATTGCCAAATGAGGTGGATATTATTATCCTCAGAGGAGGAAAATGATAAAGCAAAAGTGTCACTTCTCTATGATTTGAACCCTCTAGTCTGATTTCATAGCCTGCATTCTTAACTATTACACTATATAGTAAATCTTATGTTCAATCTTGTTTCACTACTAGCAAGTATGTAATTACAACTTTATCCTAAGTTTTACTCTTAGCACATTTATTATACAATATTTCTAGAAATGCATGTAATACTTTAGAAAATTCGAATAAAACTGTATAGCCCAAACCTGTGACCTATGAACTATATATATAAAAGCCTAAGCGACTGTTATGACCAGTCAACAGGTCGACCTATTGACCAGTCGCTATGACGCGCACTGACCACCAGTGGCAGATGCTCAATGCAGGAGCTGCCCTCTGGTGGTCAGTGAGCTCCCACAGTCAAACTCTTGCGGTCGACCAACTTCCCGCGGTCCCAGCCCCTATTGGCCCTGATCGCTGGCCAGCCCAAGGGACCCCACCCATGCACAAATTCATGCACCGGGCCTCTGGTAAAAATATATAGGACTTAGACTTTTACAATGCAGATAATACATGCTTCAGAAATAAAAAGACTGAAAATTACCCCATGTTTTTGGACAAATGAACAAATCCAGAGCTCATGTTTAGTTAACTACACTGGTGACACAATTAAGACCTCAAATTACTATATATTACAATGGTGATATAAAGACCTAGACTTTCTCATCTGTATCTTATACTCTGTGGTAATATGACCCAGTTAGAAAAGATGACAAAAATAAGGCAGGCATGGCTCAAATCTATCATGTACCTCTGGATGGCTTGAATCTATCACATGGCTTTAATGAGATTTCCATTAAAAAATCATGTCTGCTGATAACTATCCCATTCCTAATAAACTCCAAAAATTAACTCTAAACCACCTGAATTCTTTTTTCCTTTTTATTAAGTATCATAGATATGTTCTACAATAACAGTAAAATGTTATATAGACTGAATAAATTCATTTGATAAGTTCTTTTCTTTCATTTTGTTTTCTTTGATTTATACCGTATAAGTATCTTTTTAAAAATCAAGTTTCCGGATGGCGGCATAGATAAACACCGGGAAATTGCTGCCTCCCACAACAACTTCAAAAAAAACAACATAAAGACAAAACGGACATGATCCAGAACTACAGGAAAGCTGGCTGAGTGGAAATTCTACAACTAGAAGGAAAGAAAAGCACACTGAGAGCCAGAGGAGCTGCGGAAGTAAAGTGCAGAGGTACGGAGGCTCAAGCGCGCGCAGAAAGGGGCTGGCACCTGAGGACACGGCTGTCTTTTTGAATCGGGAGGGAGTCACAAGCTCCCGACTGCTCTGAACTCTGGTTCCGGGAAGTCTCTGGGGACCCAGGACTCATACGGGGAGAAATTGGACTGTCTGGCAGCGGGCAGAAATCGGAACCTGAGGTCGGCTTTCCCTCAGAGGTGCTTGCAGCAATTACCGGGACACTGAGACGCGCGGCCCCTTAGGGCAGGGCTGAGAATCCGCCATAGCTGCTTGCTCCGCCCTTTGATTCCCTGAGACCCCACCCCACCAAAGCTGCGGCAGAGGCTTTTGCATATGAATGCCCCAGCCCTTTGCAACCTGAAAATTACCTAACTGCAGCTGGGCCAGACAGACCCAGAACTTCCAAGAGAAGGCCCAAGGCCCCACAGCAGCTTGCATTGCTTCACAGCTGGGCCTCATCAGGGTACCTCCAAACTCCAAAAAAATGAAGGGGAATCTGCAGTTCTCTTCGTAGCTCCTGCTGTGTAACCTCAGGCAGAGGCTAAATTAGCACCTCCTTAGATCCAAAAGCCAGTGTACCCAGTGGTCAGAGGGGGACCATCCAGATTACAACTCCTCAGATCTATAAGGGACACACTCAGGGTGCAGACTCAGTGAGCACCAAAACCCCACTGAAGCAAGTCTTGCCCCAGAAGCTCTCCCACTGCAGACACAGCTGATTCTCACTGCCAATTGGCCTGGAGGTCAATTCCTCCCAGTGATCCTACAACAATCAAGGCATAACTACAATAAGACTGTGCAAAAAGCCCACAAGGGGGTACACCAAGAGTGTCCACCTCAGGCAACTGGGGAGGCTGAGCCACTGGGCCCTACAGGACACCTAGCACACAAAGCCACTCTACCAACACAGGGAAGCATAAAAAATGTGGAGACAAAGAAACAGGTCCCAAATGACAGAAATGGAGGAAAGCAAATGACTGGATATAGAGTTCAAGGCCACGTTTATAAGGTTTTTCAAGAATTTTATGGAAACCGCCGATAAATTTAGTGAGACACTCAAGAAATCTAGTGAGACTCTCGAGGACATGAAAAAGGACCAACTAGAAATTAAGCATACACTGACTGAAATAAAGAATAATATACAGAGATCCAACAGCAGACAAGAGGATCCCAAGAATCAAGTCAAAGATTTGAAATATGAAGAAACAAAAAAGACCCAACCGAAAAAGAAAAAAGATTCCAAAAATATGAAGATAGTGTAAGGAGCCTCTGGGACAACTTCAAGCGTACCAACATCAGAATTATAGGGGTGCCAGAAGAAGAGAACCTATTTGAAAACCTATTTGAAGAAATAATGACAGAAAACTTCCCCTACCTGGTCAAAGAAATAGACTTACAAGTCCAGGAAGCGCAGAGAACCCCAAACAAAAGGAATCCAAAGAGGACCACACCAAGACACATCATAATTAAAATGCCAAGAGCAAAAGACAAAGAGAGAATCTTAAAAGCAGCAAGAGAAAGACAGTCAGTTACCTACAAGGGAGTACCCATATGACTGTCAGCTGATTTCTCAACAGAAACCATGCAGGCCAGAAGGGAGTGGCAAGAAATATTCAAAGTGATGAATGCCAAGAACCTACAACCAAGATTACTTTATCCAGCAAAGCTATCATTCAGGAGGTCAGATAAAGAGCTTCACCGATAAGAAAACGCTAAAGGAGTTCATCACCACCAAACCAGCATTATATGAAATGCTGAAAGGTATTCTTTAAGAAGAGGAAGAAGAAAAAGGAACTCTTACCATTTGTCACAGCATGGATGGAACTGGAGAGCGGATAAATACCACATGATCTCACTCATTTGTGGAATATAATGAACAACATAAACAGATGAACAAGGACTGATCCAGAGACAGAGAGGCATTGATTGGACTGTCGGGCCTTGGAGGGAAGGTAGGGGAGGGTGGGGGTAAGGGGAAAAGATCAACCAAAGGACTTATATGCAAGCATATAGGCCTAACCAATGGACACGGACAACGGGGGGGTGAGGGCATGCGCGCGGGGGGCGGGGGGGTAGAGGGTAACGTGGGGATAAGGACACATGTAATATCTTAATCAATAAAAAATATATTTAAAAAAATCAAGTTTCCATTGACTACATTAATTTCCTTATTTTTTTAATTTTATTTTTTAATTATAGTTTATATTCAGTATTATTTTGTATTAGTTTCAGGTATATGACATAATGGTTAGACAATCATATACTTTACAAAGTAGTTCCCCTGATATTTCATCTGGCGCCATACATAGTTATTACAATATTATTGACTATATTCCCTGTGCTGTACTTTATATCCCCATGGCTACAGTAATTTCTTTAGAGCAGAAACTCCAAAGCTTCATGTTACTTATTACTATCAATCCCAAGTCAACTGGCTAATAACAAATAAAACCTAATGTTCTTAAATGAAAAATAAAGTGTCTAACCTACCTTCATTACACCCACTTCCCACACATTCACATATCCTTACCTGTGTTTCTGCACTGCTTAATGAGTGAAGATCCAAGGATGGGTCTGTTTTGAGTTCCGGTTCAGGAGCTGCAATTGGGGCCTTTAAAATGACTTCTTCATCAAGACTGGTTGCAAATTCTATGTCTTTCTGACCTTCTTCACCTTTCTCTTTAGCTGACTCTACTTCTTTGCCTTCTTCCTCAGAGACCTGAGATTTAGGCTTTTTGAGAAATGAGGAGAACAGCCGTGACAGGCCCCTGTTTTCTGATGTCCGCTCTTTGTTCTTGGTCAAGTCTTCATGTGTAGGAGTGTCTCCATTAGATGTTTTCAGCTTCTGCTCACACTGATTATCTCCCTCAGCTGCTGCTTGAGAAACCTCTCCCAGCTGAGTTTCTTGATGGCCTGAGTTTATAGCTCCCTCTCCCTCTTCCTTCTGTTGTTGGTGCTGTGAATTTTCAGCCTCAGCCACTAAACTCTTCTCTGTTGTCATGATGTTGCTATTAAAAAGAAGTTGGAAAAGGAGGCTATTATAAGCAAAACACATTACCGTAGGCGAAACCCTAAATCAGGTCAAGTGTGCTAAAATTAATATATTTAGGTATTTAATCGCCAACAGACAATACTGCAGTCCATTAAACATTAGGCTTTCCATTAAAGCACGAAAGTATTTACCTATACATCCTGAATAAATTATTAATGCCTTGTCTTGCTAAAGATATTCACATAGAGAAATTAGCTTAAAATAGTACCCCTTGAGGTCACCTTAATGAAATATATCATATTTTAAACTCAATGCTCAGAACTGTACAGAGCAAATAGTTTATCCTGCCTAAAAAAGGATCTTATTTGTATAATGTCTTCTGAGGGTATCAATCTGAAGGTTCAAGGTTGCAGGAATTATTCCTCTATAGCCCAAAAGATGAGATACCTCCCACTCTTTATTGTTCTTTCCCCCCTATATTTCTTAGAATGCATAGACTTCTCTATTAAGAACAACAAATTCAGAATTCTGATCATTTATCAAACTTGACGACAACAACAATGACAAATTAAAAGAATCACACACAAAATTCCTTAGGTTTTCCTGTTGCAATACTAAATTACAGGGTTTTATAGAAGCATCCCACTTTAAGTTCTTTAAGAACTTCTTCCTCTGACAAATGTGATTTTGAATGCTCAAAATCAGCATTTTTAAGAGTAGGCAGTTAAACCATTACAATGTAGAGAAATAATAGAGAAAAAGAAACAAAATAGAGAAGAAAATTTTAGAAAGCAAACAATTCAATTGTAGGAAAGGAGGAGAAGGTAGGTTATAGACCTCACAGATTTCAAATCTGTTGATTTCCAGCCTCTCGATCTCAAAATCCCAGTATTATTAATCAAGCCTTACAATAATAGCCAAAAAGCATTGTCATACCTTGTGACCAAATAATAACCAACACACAAGGTAACTTTTGAGACACTAGGCAATGAAGTTGACTATTGATTATCTTACACTTTGATTCACTGTTACTAGTATATCTGAAAGTACTCCACTCAAAAAGCAGCATTTATGTTGTCTTTACACCTGCTCCATACTATTTATATGAAGAAACTGTATTTGGATGCTAACAATCTGAAGTAATTAACTATATTTAGTTCATTCCCTCCTCAGGCCCTTCGCACTTGCTCTTCTCTCTACTTAGGATGATGTTCTTCTCCAAAGCTGATCTTCTTCTCATTATTACCTTCTCTGCTCAGAACTCACCTCCTTAGGTCTCCCACATACACCCTGTCTAAAGTAGTGGCCCTCTGTCCTCCAGATGGCCTCTCACCACTACTGCACTTATTATTATCTACAATTATCCTGTTACCTTATTTGTTTACTGGTTTAGTGTCCTCTCCCTTTTTCTCCCCCAGCTAAAATGTAAGTTCCATGAAGACAGAATAATACCTGGCACATTATAGACCTTCATAAAAGTTTGTTGAATTAATTCACTTCAACTGAATAAACCTGACAAACATAAACTGCAAAGGCATTCTCTAAATTTATTCAAGCACATTTACTTCAAATGCATGACTATTCAACAAATCCTTATCAAGCACCTAGCACATAAGGCTGATCAGAATTAAATAAATAAATAATCACAAAAAGAAATAGACTATGGACCAACAAACTCATCCTGACAAACCTGTTTTACATGTAGCCAAATTATTCACATTACAAATGATAGAATAGGTAATCGGTGGAAAAGATACAAAGAAGTCAAGCAGTAAAACAGGATAAATACTCTACAAATAGGCCCTTCCTCTGTAAATAATACTATTTTTCATTCTGGATACAAAATCCAAAAGGAGATAACTGTTTATGTAATGTCAGAAAGAGGTCTTCTGATTAAAAAAAAATTGGAACAGCACTGAAGACAAAGTAATGAATTCCCATTCCATTTCAATCCTAACCCTCCAAACCCTAGGAATTACACCCCATCTGGTATCAAAGGTACACTTGTTTTAACAGTGTGCATCTGTTGACTTCAGACAAATCAGATCTTTAAAAACCTGATACTGAGCAGATTGAAGTGCTGGACTCTATCTTTCACCTTTTTTGTATCTCTTTCTAACAGTAGTACGGTCAGTACTCCATTAATGCTTCTTGGGTGGAAAACTTTATAAAAACAGTACAGTTTGGCACCACTAAGAAAATTTCCCTTCCAATCACCATTTAGGGGTAAAGTTTAATGATTTACTCTTCAAATTAGCTCACTGAACACCTATAAATGTTTACTGGGTGCTAATCATGCATAAAGTTTTGGCTCAGCTGTTTGAGAGGAACTAAAAATGGATAATACACAATTCTTAAGGAACTAAGACATATACAGCCCTATACGGTCTACTTCCAAAATATAGTAAGTAGTTCCGACTGGTTGGAATAGGGATATAAAAGGGAAGTAGAAAGAGGTAAGGTTATATAGTTACCATTTAAAATTAATTCTAGGTTATGAGGCTTGATGAAAAAGGTGAAGGGATTAAGAAACAACCAAAAAAATACTCAGACACAGACAACAATAAGGTGATTACCACAGGGGAAGGGGGGTGAGGGGAGGTAGAAGAAGGTATGTGGGGAGGGGAGGAAAAATAAAATAATTCTAACTGAAATAATAATAGTAGCTACCATTTATTGAACACCTACTAAATACCATATATTATTCTACATACTTCACCACTTACAACCATTCTATAAGGTAAGTGTCTTCATTGCCCAGATAAACAGGTTCTGGGAGGTTAAAATTTTCCCCCCTCAGATTATAAAACTAAGCCATGCTTTAATGAAACTATTAATATACTACAGGGTAGTGATTCTATTGTAAATTCCCAGGATAGTAGTTGTCTTTTTAAAACTTGATACTTCAGACGCTTCTACTCCACCGTTCTCTGCTAAAGAAGCCCCTATCTATTAAAAATTTAAGAACAGGCTATACAGTCTGGCCAAGACCATCTCTGTTCCCACAAGTCTCAAGTCCCCCATTTGTTTACATATTTATCTTTCCATACAGTGTATGTAAAGATAGAATGGGGAGATAGGGAAAGACAGGCAAAGAGGAGATTTTAAAAAAGGACTTGAATAACATGCTAAACAGTTTGGACTTTATCCTGAAGGCAATGGAGAGCCACTGAAGGTTTCTAAACAGTGAAGTGGGTAAACAAAGTGAGGGCGGGAGAGGCTAGAGAAAGAAAGAAACTTGGCAAACGACTGAGTAAATTCAGGTTATCAGTGAATAAATTCACAATGGGAATCCCTAGGGAAGCGGAAACAAATACCAAGCAGAGAAATTTGAAAAGCCTTTGCAACCAAAGCTTAAGAATGACTGTTGCCCTTATTTTCATTAGCATGCTTATTCTCTAGCTTATTTTCCAGCTTATTTTTATTATGCTTCTCATTAACCCAAGCAGTTTCATGTCTGAGTCTGTCATTTTTATAATACACCTTCCTTGACCCACTCTGATAACCAGCTTAATAAATGAGGGATAGCAATACAACCAAAACAGAAAAGAGAGGGAAGAGAGATGGGTATCTCACAGGCATCTCAATACACATGTCCAAAAGTAAACTCTTGATTCTCTCTTCCTGTCCCAGTAAATTGTTCAATCGTATCATCCAGTAGCTCAGACCAGATACATAAGCATCATCCTTGTCTCAGTCTTCTCCATTTCCCTTCCCAATAAAATCTATGTCAATCCTATAGAGTCTACCTCCAAAATATATTTAGAATCAGTCCACCTTTCCTCTTCTCTACTGCTACCATGTTTATGTAAGCTTCTTTCACTTCTCACTGAACTACAGATCCTTGAATGATGATCTCAACAAAACAACCTCACCATGTTCTATTTTCTTCCTTGCCTCTATACTCTAGTCACACTAGTCAAGTGCTTTCCTGCTTTAAATTGTTGGTACATGCCATTTTCTTAGACTGGAACACACCCCATCCCTTGCAACAAGTCTGGTTTCTTCTTATAGTTCAAGTTCCAGCTAGAATAAGTCCTCCTTAGGCAATCTTCCTTGACTACCCTACCATCTACAAAACTCTCCCCATAAGTCACTTCCCAGTCCTCTATTCCAGAACCTATTTATTTCCTTCACAGAATTCTCTCAATGTATAAGAACATACTTGTTGTTTACCTGTGTGATATCTGCCTTCCCCACTGCACCATCATCTACATTGTAATATCCATGACAGAAGGGCTGTTTCCACAGTACATATACCTAGTACCTAGCACAGAACTTGTGCCACCTAGCACAGAACCTAGTACTAACACAGAACCTAGTGCCTAGCACAGAACACTGTAGGTACTCAGTAAATATTTGTTCCGTAAATGAATTACTATAAAGAAAAAGAAGAATTTAGGTTTAACAATATCAATTATACATGTACAGGCTGAAGGTTATACAATTTGATGATAGTTCACAAGAAAAGGATGTTGAGGTTTTGATTGAACATGCTCCAGAGATAAAATTCTAAAATAGCTAACTTTACTGCATTTCTAGATTTATAGGAACCACAGCACTCATTTGACTCATCAACATATATTTTCTGAGAACATTATTATGTTCTATGCAACATGGTTAGTGGGGCTACAACAGAGAAAGACAAACACGGTCCCCAACTTCTGGGCTTCGCTCTCCATGCAGAAGATCATGGAATGTAACAATCCCTCAGTTCTCATTATTTATATTACATCTTAACACTTACATTCGGTTCTAGACAGTTTATTTAAAAGAAACCAGAATCTGTCTGAAGAAGAAATAAAAGATGGAATTTGAAAGCATATCATAAGATAAATAATTGAAAGATATTAGAATGCTTAGCCTAGAAAAAGAGAATCCGAAGCAGGGACTTGATTGTGGCCCTCACAAATTTCAGGAGTTGCCAAATTCTATGTGTTTCCTAAGGGCAGAACTCAGATTAGTCTGTGGAAATTACAGAAACACATTCTTCATCCCA